GGGGAGATGTGTGGGATGAGGATGAGAGCCGACGGGTGTCACATCTGGCCGCCTCCCCGTGCAGCCTGGAAGGAGAGCCAGGGCGGGCAGGCTCTGTGGTGGCCCGTCGTCCCGATTAGCAGCAGCCAACATCCCCACTGTGATCTGTCTCACATCCCCACAACCCCCCTGTGCTATCCTGCTATTAACCCAGGGAAGTCACAGCCAAAAAGCTTAGCTAGGATTTAACCAAAAAAAAAAAAAAATTGATTAGATATTTCGGGGAGATATTCGAGAGCAGTTAAATATGCCCAGCTCATCGGTGCCTTTGAAAAATCTCACCCCTCTAAAAAATTAGAATTGATTTTGTATTTAAAAAGGAATCTATTTAATTTAAAAGTAAGATAATTTGAAATCATGACAGCTTGTATTAATGCTGGAGTTTATGATAATCTATTAAAGTCATTGAAGTTAAGAACCGTCTCCCATCCTCTGCTGCCGAGGCTCCCGGGAGGGAGATGGGGGACGGGAACTCGGGGGTGAGGGGCTGCACTGCCCTATTTCAGGGCACAGCAGCTGGGCTGGAAACTGGAGAGGCAGAAAAATCTCCTTCAGCTCTTCCACACTCAGGGGGAAAAAAAAAAAAAACAACAACAAAAAAAACAGGATGCAAAAAACACCCAGTGTTTCAAGATCTTGAAATATCCGGCGCCCAGAAAGCACGAGTTCAACACATCAGCTGCGCTCTCCCATTCCTCAAGTCGATTTTACACTCGAAAAGGTATTTCAAGACCTCACTTTTCAAACATTCATTGCGCTACCGAGAAGGCGAAGGAGTCAAAGGCACCGTCTTCGGCGCGGTTTTTAATTGCATCGCAAATCTCCACCGAGCCCGAGGGAAGCCAGGGTGCTCATAAATACCCCTCTCGCTGCTTTATAAGCTGAGAAGGATGGGGCCCAAAAAAATTAGCAGCCTGCAGGAGTGTGAATCCAGTTAATGACATATCAAATGTGGCTGGATGCTGCCGAGCCAAGCAGTGAGGAAGAAGGGGGTGTGAAGGTGAGCGGACAGGGAATATTGAGCTGCAAATTAGCATTTCTTAATGGCCACCGACCAGAGAAATGCTTCCTCCCTTCAGGAAAAAATACAGCTAATGCAGCAAACACAAAATGAGATGAAAGGCAACCATTCCAAATTAGGGTTTCCTTGGTTTAAAGCAGGATGAAACCAGGTGATTTTAAGTGCCTGCAGCCCGGGGTGCACCAGCAAGTGGCCCTATCCTGGCTCCCACCCGAAAATTGGTGCTTCCTGAAAATTCGGGAGGTGGGAAAAAAAACCCCCAGCAAAACAGGGAAATGCTGTCAGACTCCCTCTGAGGACAGGTACATAAAAGCGGGTTTATGGGTGGGAGTCGCTCCTGAGTGAGGCAGCACATGCACAGGAAGGCAGCCAGTGCAATTAAAACTCCCTCTGTTCATTAGCAAAGAGAGCTACGAAGCAGCAGAAAGCCTTGCCCAAGTGTCTCCCATCCTCCTAAACCAGAGGCAATAGTCCCACAAACTGTCCCTCTGCCTTTGGAAGAACACAGGACCACATGCAGGGTCCCCACATTTAGGAGAGCTGAGCACCAACACACCCACCTCTGGCACCAGGATGGCCACGACAGGGAGGATGAAGTCTAAATCAGGCACATGGGAAGCAGGCAGCAAGCAACGTCTCACCCTCTCTAGTGTTAAGACAACTATAAAGTTAGAGCTCATCATTAATTAATGTTATCAGAGCATCTCATCAGGGGTCAGGAGTAACAGCCGGGTTTGGGATGCCCAGCTCAACACACACACCCCTGGCACTTTATTTTTAACAAGCACCATACATGGCTCCCCAAAGGCCCCGTTCTCCAAACAAACACCCCAGCACAGCTCTACCTGGGAGGGAAACCTTGACCCACGTGCCCGTCAGTGGGATGCCTGGTTTGGCAGCTGTGGCAGGCAGGTGCCACCAAGGCAGGGGAACCTCTCCCAACACTGTCCATGAACACGGGCCAAGCTTGAAAGCCCTTCAGTTATTTAGGGAGTGTCTGAGGAGGACAGACGGCACTGGAGCGGGATGACAGCCTAGGGCTCCACAGTCCACACCCTTTTCCAGCTGCTCCCCTCACCCTTTCCCCTGCCATGGTCCTGGCCTGCTGCAGCCACCTGCCCATGTGCTCCCACCCTCTCTGTGGGGAAAGGGTGGCATGGGGAGACCCCCGAGGGAGATGGCTCAGAGCCCATATGGCAGAGCCAAGGTGCCACTGCCATGAGCCTCTGTGCAGCACTTCCTAGTGCTCCCAGCCCAAACCCAGGCCCTCCCTGACCTGGGGGCAGCACCTGGGTCTGGTCCAAGACTCTGCCAGCTGGGAACCCTTGGCAACCCATTCCCTGTGCCCCAGCCCTGGATCTGAAAGACACCAGAGGAGAAGGAGCAGCTGCCCAGCTTCCCCCAGTTCAGACACAGAACCAGACCAGACTCAGAGTGGGTTTAGCCACCCCTGTGACACATTCAAGCTCAACAAGGCGGGTACAAATGGGTCTGGTGTTTGCCAGGAATGGTGCAAGCAGCACTGTGTGAAGCCACATTCCTGGAAGGATGTTTAAACACATCCCCAGGCCGTGTACGAGGGCTTTTGGAAACACAGCCAACCACCCACACCAGTTCCATGCACTGATCTGACCATGTCCCCACTGAGTGCACAGTGACAGCAGTGATGCTCTTGGGATTTTTGGGCTGGGGGCTCTCCAGCTCCAGAGGTTACAGCTTCTGAGTCAACAAGTCTGGGTCTTGCAAGACCTCTGTGCATCTCAGAGCTTCTGCCATGCCAAGGTCCAGGCTAACAGTAGCAGTAACAATGACAATAATAATTCTAACAATAATAAAAACAACACCCACATATGGCAAAGCAGCACAACAACAGTAACACCCACACATGACAAAGAGGACATACCAGCTTCAAAGCAAGCCTTTCCTTCACGGGAGAGAGGGAGATGCAACGTGGCATTTCCCAGAAGTCACCAAGCCAAAACCCTGGCAAACAGGGGGCCTGCAAGGCGCAGGGTACCCCGCCAGCTCAGCCCTCAGCCCCAGCATTCCAGGAAGGGAGACTTGTACTGGGATCCCCACTGTGTCTCCACAGCCCAAACCCCTGCCTGCTGGGGGCTGCCACAGCCCCATGCATCCCCAGGTTCTTGGGGAACCAATGTCCCAGGGGGCAAAGCCTCAGGGAGCTCTGCCACCACCAGGACATCAGGGTGCCCTGGCACGGGGCCAGCCATCCTTGCATTTGTCTGGCAGTGGAAAGCAGGAGGCCAAAGCAAAACCCTGCCAAGCACCATCAGTGCAAGCCATGGGTGCAGCAGGGGGCTGTCAGGGTAGGCGGGTCCTTTAATGCACAGCCCAGGAATTTGCAAAATCCCTGGGGAAATCCCCACAACACCAGCCAGGGTCATGCCCAGGGACCCCCTCCTGATTCCCACCAGGCTGCTCCCCACTGACAGCACCCCAGGCCTCGGGGGCCCATCGGGGTCCAGCTCCTCGGGATCGGGTCTGAGGGGGCCAGAGGACGAGCCTGGGTGGCCTTTGGGGCACGGAGGTGGCGCAGGGCCGGCGGCCATGCCGGCGTCCCCCTGCATCCGTCCCCCCCTGCATCCGCAGCGCTGCTGCCTTGTTGCCACAGTAACGCTCTCCGGCCTCCGCCGCAGCATCCCGCAGCACAGGGCTGGACCAGGGGGACAGGGGGGCACCACAACCCGCTGCCCCCTCCCCACACGGCCCCTGGCCTCCAGCAAGACACCCCTGGGTGTCCCCACACACTTCCCCCCTGGCATCAGCAGCCCCACGCCTGCCTCTGCCTTTCTCCCAGGAGAAGGGGGATGTTCATGCAGCAGCCAGAGCTGCCCCAAGCTTACCCAGCATCCAGGACTGGGTTTTTTTTTAGCACATGGAGGGGTCCAGAGGCCATGGAGGCGATGAATTGCTGGGGACCCCATGCTGGGGTCACTGCTACGCACAAGGGTGGTACAGAGGAGCATCAAGAGGAGCATCACATTAAGCAACACACAGTGCCTCGTTTTTGGGCCAACATCCAAGCAAGGGTGGCATCTTAAAAACTTAATGGGACACCCAAGGTGCTGCTAGAGGAGCAACAGATGGACAAGGCTTGCAGGAGGTGGGACAGCCACTGTGGGCCTACTACAAAAGCACTGGTGGCATTTGCCCAGGGCAGGAGGTCACGTGTGGGCAGGGAACTGGTATTCTGCACCAGTGTCACCCAAAATTAAACATCTCAGTGGCTTGTTCCAGGTGGGGAGGAGGGAAGGAGGGGTGGAGTTCAAGGGGTGGAGGCCTCACCCTGATCCCAGCATAAACAAACAAAGGAGCAAATTGTTGGCTTTTTTTAGTGCAAGAAAACTGAAGAGATAAGGGTCCATGAGATAAGGGCAGATGAGCCTCACGTAGTGGGTGAAGAGCAGGTGGGAACCACCCAGACCATGTGAGCAGGCCAAAGCCCAACACCTGGGGGCAGGAGCACTGGAGGCAGCACACACACAGGCAGATTGGGATACGCTGGGCACTGGAGCATTTTTCCATCAGACTGCAGGAAAGGTGACTCTGCTCAGGGGCAGACAAAGCAGAAACCCTCACCTCCAGCTGGGCACGCTGGGAGCAGACTGTGGGCCTCCTGCCAGCACAAGCCGCCGGTGGCCACGGATCGAGCTGGGGATGAGCCCCGCGGATGACAACCTGGGAATGCACCAGGAGCCCCAGGCCTGCCGCATCTCCAGCCGCGATGCTGCAGCGGGGCGAACCGGCCGCGGGGCCAGGATGCTGCGGCGGGGTGAAACGACACCGGGGCAGAGATGCTGCAGCGGGACGTAGCGGCCCCGGGGCCGAGCAGCCGCAGGGCGCCCGCCGGTGCGGCAGGGAGGAGCCCCGCCGCCGGGGATGCTCTGGGGGGGGGCCCGCCGCGCTCCCGCAGGCTCACCCAGCACGAAGTAGGGCAGCTCCGTGTTCTCCAGGTCATCCACCACCACCATCTCTCCGGGGAAGTCGTTGCGGACCGAGAAGAGCAGCTTGGGCTCGGCGGCCGAGGGGCCGTGCATGATGCTGAGGTCGTTCTCCCGCAGGAAGGGCAGCGCCGACACCGTGATGCTCTTCAGCTTGCACTCCAGCTCCTTGGCCGCCGCCTCCGCCGCCGCCTCGGCGGGGCCGCTGCCCGCGGCCAGGCAGCAGCCGGCCAGCAGCGAGCACAGCCCGGCCAAAGCCATCTTGGAGCCCCGCGCCGCGCTCCCGGCGCCGGGCGGGAGGCGGCGGCGAGGGGCGGGCACCGCGGCCCGGCGCCTCCCCGTGCGGCGCGGCTCGGCACGGATCGGCTTTCCCGGCCCCCCCGCCTCCCCCCTCTCCCGCTTCGCCCTTTACCCCCCCCCCATTTCCCTGGAAAAAAAACGGGAGGGCTGCGGTTTTTAGCGATGCGGTGGCGGGAGGGATGCGGGACTGCCCGGCCCGGCTCCCTCTGCCCGCTTCTGCTCTGGGAAGAGCGCGCAGGTACCACCGCCATCCCCCCCCCCTCCCCAGGATAAATTGCAGACCTCCAAAATCACAGACCTCCAAAATCCCAGGAGAAGTCATGGGCCTCCAAAATCCCAGGAGAAGTCATGGGCCTCCAAAATTTCAGGAGAAGTCATGGAACTCAAAGTCCCAGAAGAAGTCACTGACTTCCAAAATCCCAAACCTCCAAAATCCCAGAAGCCATAGATCCCAAAGCCCCAGAAGAAGTCACTGACCTGCAAAATCCCAAACCTCCAAAATCCCAGAAGCCATGGATCCCAAAGCCCCAGAAGAAGTCACTGACCTGCAAAATCCCAAACCTCCAAAATCTCAGGAGAAATCATGGACCTCAAAGTCCCAGGAGAAGTCACTGACCTCCAAAATCTCAGAAGTCACAGACCTCCAAAATGCCAGGAGGATTCACGGACCCCAAAGCCCCTGAAGAAATCATGGACCTCCAAAATCCCAGGAGAAGTCATGGACCCCAAAGCCCCCGAAGAAATCATGGACCTCCAAAATCCCAGGAGAAGTCATGGACCCCAAAGCCCCCGAAGAAATCATGGACCTCCAAAATCCCAGGAGAAGTCATGGACCCCAAAGCTCAGGAGAAGTCACGGACCTCCAAATCCCCCCAAGCATATACATACATATATGGAGCATTAGGGTCAACCCCAAACCTGCTAGATCTGGCTCTTTTTATACCGGATGCTTTTTATTTTCACTCTTTAAGTGAGCGCAAAGCAGCAGTGACAGCTTGTCTGACAGCCACACCTTCCTGCAAACACCTGTGGTCCTCCCTGCAGCCAAAATGTTCTGAAGGAAAACATTCTCCTCTTCTAGTGTGGAGGAAAGGCCCCTTCCCCATCCCAGCAGGAATACACAGCCATGCTGGTGTGGTTTTCCCCCCTGGGAGTCTCCTGATGGCAGACACCTCTGGAGCTGGGTATGGAGGCATTTCTGACCTGGAAGCAGAGCTCACACCCCACCCAGCTCCATCCACCCTGTCTCCTTGTGTGGAACCACACACAGCACGTTCCTTTAAAAACTCTTGCAATTTTTTTGTATTTTTCTTTTGCAGAGCTTTTCCTCCTTCCCTTGCAGGGGTTTTCCCAAATTCCTCCTCCCTCATTCATGCCAGATGTGAAGCTTAACATGCCCCAGGGTCAGCACTGTGCCCCACACACCCCAAGCAGAGGAGCCACAGCGGGTGCTTTTCCCCAGACTGATTTATGACACCCCTGTATTTATAAATTCTGTGATATTTTGGGAAGGAAAAACTGTGCTCACCAGAAATTACCTGTATTCAACAATCAGAGCCAAGCGCTGAACTAAACCAGTGAGGATGTAGCGGGATGTTTCAGCAGCATTGTCCCCCTTTGGCACCAACTGTCTGCAGCTGCCAGGAAAAACGAGTTAGAAATCAGGAAAAATCAGGGAAAAACCAAAAACTGAGAAAACCAAGGGAAACCAGGAAAATCAAGGGGAAAAATAAGGAAAAATGAGCAACAGACATGCCCCTGCTTTTGCAGAGCACAAGGTAATCCCTTTGCGTGTCCTCTGCCTTTAGCTACTCTTCTTTTTTCACCAGGGGACACATTAAAAGAAGCTATTTTATTAAAAAAAAAAAAAAAAAAAAAAAAAAAAAAAAAAAAAAAAAAAAAAAAAAAAAAAAAAAAAAAAAAAAAAAAAAAAAAAAAAAAAAAAAAAAAAAAAGGCCACACCAAAAAAAGGTGCAATTGCATTATTCAGAAGGTGTCTCCAAGAAGGTCTTTTTGGCCACCCCTTTAGTAAATGAGGTGCATGTCCGGGAGTGGTGCCCCTGGAAGAAGAGTAGGGAAGGGATTTCGTGGGAGGCATGGGGAATAGAGATGGATAAATAAAACATATATTAAAAAAAACAAACCAGCCAAGCGCAGTAAACCTGGTGTCACCAATGCCATCCTCCTGCTGATCACCAACGCATGAGGTTTCCAGAGAAGCTGCGGCTGCCCCATCCCTGGCAGCGCCCAAGGCCAGGTTGGACGGGGCTTGGAGCAACCTGGTACAGCGGAAGGTGTCCCTGCCCGTGGCAGGGGGTTGACTGGGTGCCCTTTAGGGTCCTTTCCCACCCAAACCAATCCGTGACCCAAGGACCCCCCCGGGCCCGGTCCCCCCTTGGGGACCCTCGGGCGGGAGCGGGGACGCGGCATCTCCGGGAACCCCGCGCGCGCCCGCCGGGCCACGCCCCGCTCCGCCCCGCCCGCCAATGGGGAGGCGCGGGGAGGCCGGCGGCGCCGCTGATTGGCTGCGGCCGCTGCATATATTATCGGCGGTGCGGCGGCGGCGCCCGCGGAGCGCGGCGGGACCCGGCGGGGCCGCGGCACCGGCAGCGCCTGTCGCGACAGTCGCGATCGCGCCATGCTGGCGGCGCCGCCCGGGGCCGCCTGCCCGCCCGGCGATGGGGCGACCGGGAGGCGGCGGCGCCGGGGCAGCGCCCGGGGCCGCTGAGGCGGAGCGGGACGGGACGGAGAGGCGGCCGGTGCCCCGCCGGCGCTGAGCCGGAGCCTGGGGTGAGTTTGCGGGGTCGCGGGAGGGACTTGGGGGACGGGGCGAGCCCGCGTGGGGACCCCGCCGGGTGTGGGATGGGCAAGGAGCGGAGACGCCGAGCACCGCCGCCGCCTCGCTCGGTGACCTTGGTCAAGTTGTGTCCCTGCTCCGGGATCGCTTCGCAGCCTCTCCGGCGAAGTCTGGAGTCGGGGAAGGCACCGAGCCCTTCCCGGGCGGGAGCCATCGCGGCGCGGCAGGCGCGGGGAGCTGCGAGCGGCCCGGTGGGACCGGGTGCTGGCGGACTGCCGGGATAAACGGGATGCCCAGGATGCCAGGACCTGCTGCTGTATGCAGCGGGCGCTGCTCGGTAGGAGATGCTCGTGCGAGACAACCCGCGCCCGCAGAGACCGGAGGAGATGCCCCCTTAAATGTTTAAACACGCATTTCTCTGGTGATCACCGGTAAATCAATAGCCCGGGGGGGGGGGGGGGGGGCATTTCCCTCCATTATCATCCCCGTAGGGCCCCACTTCACCGGAGCACCGGGCCGAGCAGGGGGTGACCCGTCGGGAGGTGTTTTCTCGCCGCGGGCGACTACTGGCACAGTATCGGCAGCTCAGGGATCGGGAGGTTCCCACTGCGAGGCTCCGTTCCCTTCTCTAAACACACATCTTTTTTTAATCAGGAAGTAGGAAACAAAACTCTGGATCTTTAAAGCACTGGAGAGCGTCAGCTCTCGGCGCAGCAGTGCCCACCCTGCCCTGTCTCCTCCCGGGGGACCCGCGTGTCGCTGCCCTGGGGCAGCGGTGGCGCGTCCCGGGGTGCCCCCGCCGTGGTCCCGGGGCCGGGCCGGGTGAGCCTGGGCGCTGCGGGGCCGGGTGGGACCTGCCGGCAGATGTCAGTGTCCCCTCTCTGTCAGCAGCCAGGAGGGTCCCTGCCAGCCCCGGAGATGTTGCAAGGAGGCCCCTGCACTTTTTCCCCGAAGCGGAGCTGTCTTTGGTGGCCGCTCCGTGACAGTTCGGAGACCTGGGTAGCTAGGTGGGTGCTAGGAAGGGGAGTGGCCCCACTCTGATACCCTAGATCGCCTCCCTCTCTCTGCCCAGCACCAGCCACCCACCACCCTATTTATCCTGTGCCGCTAACGCTGAGCTACTGCTGTGCATTACTGCCCACCCGTGACACTTGTCACCTGCGTGAAGGCAAGGGAGTGATGGGAAGGAATGGTCCTCACCTTGCACTGCCTCCAGCTCCTGCAGGAGGCTGGTACTGGGCTTGCAGGGTCCGTTGAGGGGAAGGAGCCATCATCCCTGGGGAAGGGACTGCAAAGGGTGCTCTTTTTCCTCCAGCCCCTTGTGGGTGGGGGTGCTCTTCTCCAGCGATCCATCTGCAGGGATGCTTTGGGCTGAGAGCTCAGCACAAGGTGGGGGAAGCCGGGGCTGCTGCTGCTGTCACCACGCTGGGGGGAGTTCTATTTTGCACATTGCTTTACTTAAGAGGCTTTTTTGCCTCTGGGTGTGAAAGTCTCGGGTGTGCAAAGCCAGAGGGCAGAACACATGGCACTGGTGCGACACACTGCACGAAGCTGCCATCTCCCCTGGTGGCAGCCCAGGCTTCATCTCATTTGATGTCTTATGCAAATCCTTGGCTCCCCGAGTCCTGGGATTTTCTGCTATTTTCCTTTACTCTCATCTTCAAGTGTCTCGCTCTCGAGGATGTGAAGAACAGCTAATAAAAGGAACCCAAGCCACCGAGTCTTGCAGGTTTTCTAACCAGCCTGACGAGCTGGGAGGGAGGCAGCGACTTAAAAGTCCCTTGGCTATAGCGACTGAATGGGCTGCGGAGGGTGGTTTGCGGGAGCCCAGCGAGAATCCGTTCACAGCCACCACGGTGATCTTCGGCGTCCCTGCTCCGGCAGGACGGCAGGCTCCGAGGTGGCTGTCCCCACGCTGGCCGCCTGGAGCCGTGTCTCCGGGGCCGGGTGCCAGGCGGCTAACAGCACCCCGCCGTGCCCACTTTGCCAGTGATTACCGCGCTGCTGTCGCTCCGGCGGTGCCTGGCTCGCTCTCTTAATTACCCCGGCAGATCAATGAGGCCCTGGCGCTTCCTTGGGAGCGTGCGGATGCGAGCCCGGCGATGCAGCTCCTTGCAAACCACGCAGAGCCGGGGAGGGGGCAGAGGAGGCAGCGGTGCAGGCAGGGCTGGGTG